AATGCCATGAAATTAATTAACATGATGCTGAGTGACTAATGTGTCGCTGAAGAAATGGAAAGAAAATCAAGAACCTTCTTGAAGAAAATGATGCTACTATATGATCTATTCGAAGAGATTAAACTTTAAAAAAAATCAAAATCCATGAGATACAGTTTCCACTAATCTTTGTTGGTGGGCTAGGTCTCCTGTAGGCAATAAATAGATGTGTGTTTTTTTTTTAAATCCGGTTCACATTGTGGGTCACTCTGTCCAGGCTGCAGCTCCCACTGGTCCATGTGATAGAAATGTTTTGCGATTTCATATGTACCAGCTAACACAGAAACTGTCCAGTGATACTATGTTCTCATTAAAACAAGAGAAGAGCTGGCTTGAAGAAGCTGTTACTTGATTAATGTGAGACAATTTGAGTAGCGGGAAAAAAATTAATGACTATAAAGAGTTTTAATTGAAATAATTTTAAAATTTCATGCAAGCCTGGAATACGTGCTTCCCATTGTGGGATGCCTGGATTCAAGGCACCCAGCTCTGCTTCTGAATCCAGCTTCCTGCTGCCCCGTGGAGTGCTGGCTGTCAGCCTCAGCCTGGCCCAGCCCGGGCTCTGGGGAGGTCAGTCAGCAGGTGTGAGGGCAAGTTGCCTGCCTTTCACATGAACAAACATCAGGGATTTGTTTTCGGTTTTTCTGTTAGTGATCCCTATTCCCACCTTCTCAGTTCCTGGTCCTCTTTGCTTGATCCCACCCTTGTTTTGATTGACAGGAGCTTTGTATTGAGCATCCTAGATTTCTTCTGTCTATTGTGTTACAAATGTTCTCTCTGGACTACTTATATTTAGGCTTTATTTTCATATTTCACTTGAAAATATATCGTACTGCGTCATTGGACGATTGATTTTTTGTGTTCTACTTAGAATCATCAACTCCACTCATAGTTGTAGTTTTTAAAATTCTGCATTTTCTTTTAAGTTTTATATTCTCAAGCCAGCAGCTAAGAGATATTTAGATTGATATTCAAGTGCAGATAAGATACTTAGGTTTTTCAATTTTTCTCATGAAAACACTTGCTTGAGTTTCATTTACCTGTGACTACTACGTTTTTTCCATCTGTTGTCAAATGATGAGAAGAAATTTCCACTTGTGTTTTTCCACTTCACCTGCTTTTCCTCAGCTCACCTTGCCTGCATGGATGCAGCCTTACCATTGCACTGAAGCTGCGTGTGCAGAGCGGCCTCAGCTTGGTTTGCACTGAAGCCAGAGTGCTCAGTTTAGACTGACATTTTTCTGAGCCATTTGCATTCATCATTGTTGGCTACTTTTTCCTTGAAATGCCTTTCTTTGGTTTCTTTGATAGAAGTCATCACTGATTTTCTTCTTAGTCACTTATGCAACTTACCGTTTTTCATCTTGCAATTACTGGTATTTTCTAGAATTCATTCAGGTACATCCTCTCCTGTTTACACTTGTATATACTTAACCTGGAATTTTGCCATCTAATGGCTTCATTATTAATAATACTCTGATAACTACCTCCAAATCTTGGGCCATGTGGTTTTTAAAAACAAATTTATTTATTTTTATTGGGAAGACAGATGTACAGAGAAGAGACAGAAAGATGCTCATTCTGTTGGTTCATTCCCCACGTGTCCATAACAGCTGGAGCTGAGCCGATCCAAAGCCAGGTGCCAGGAGTTTCTTCTGGTTTTCCCACATGGGTGCAGGGTTCCAAGGCTTTGGGCCATCTTCTAGTGCTTTTCCAGGCCACAAACTGGGAGCCGGGTGGGAAGTAGAACAGCCAGAATATGAATCAGCACCCATATGGGATCCCAGCACATGCAAGGTAAGGATTTAACCTCCTAGGCTATTGTGCCAGGCCCTCTCCATGTCATTTTTAAAGTTGAAACACAGGTCTGGCATGAATCTGCAGCTTAGTTTGCCAGTGCTGGTTTGAATCCCACTTCTATGATCTGTCCGATGATTCACTCCCCAAGTGACCACAACTGCCGGTGCTGTACCGATCCAAAGCCAGGAACCAGGAACCTCTTCCAGGTCTCCCATGCAGGTGCAGGGTTCCAAAGCATTGGGCCGTTCTCGACTGCTTTCCCAGGCCACAAGCAGGGAGCTGAATGAGAAGTGAAACTGCCAGGATTGGAACCGGCGCCCGTATTGGATCCTGGTGTGTTCAAGGCGAGGACTTTAGTCACTAGGGCACCGTGCTGGGCCCTGCCTTTTGACTTTTATGAATAGTGTTGCTATACACATTCAATTACAACTTTTGTGTAGAGATAGGTTTCATCCTTGGGTATATGCTTGGTCATATGCTGTGTTTAACTTGAAAAATTGCATGTCATTTTTCACTGTTACTGTAACTTCCATATCACCATGTTTGGTTGGCCCTGTCCTAGCTGTTGCAGGCATTTGGAGGAGTGAACCCATTGAACACTCAATCTTTTTCTGGCAAAAACTAAAGAAAAATAGTTTTATAAATCCCCATTCATGGGTTAGACCATGAGGTATCTTTACAAAAGTGAGCCCAACATTCTTACCTCCTTTTTAAAATTTACTTACTCATTTGAAAGGCAAAATTATAGAAAGGAGAAACAGAGACATTCTCCATCTGTACTTCACTCCTCAGAGGGCCACACTGGGCCAGGGTTTGGACAGGGTTGAAGCCAGGAGCCCAGACACCCATCCTGGTCTCCCTTATAGGTGCTTTTCAACTTCCTGAAGTGGATAGAGCTGGAATTGACATCTGGCTGTTTCAGTTAGGTGTGAGGAACCTTATTACCTGAACCACCAGCTGCTGCCTCCTCCTAGGGTTTGCATTGACAGAAATCTGGAGTCAGGAACAAGACTCACCATTCATGCCCACGTACTCCCCCTGTGGAGCATCGATGTCCTTAACCAGTAGGCCAAATGCCCACCTCAAGAGAGAGCTGCTTCAGTGTGCTAGCTGGGAGTATTATGAGAATCTCATCAATGCTTAGAATCCGGCAAATTCTTTCTGATCTGCTGCTTTTTTTTCCCCCCCAAGACCTGTCACTCCCAAACTTGAGGAACAGTTGGTAGCTTTGATATATTGCAATGTTTGTTCACTGTAATGATGTGATGGTAGCATAACAGATATCTGCATCTTTTATCGCTCATCAGATTATATGCATAATTTACATATGTGGAGCTCACAGTCAGTTTTATCTTGCTGAATCTGTTAAAATAATTTCCATGTGGTCTGTCCACTATCGTTGTGTGGTTACTTTATTAAGTCTTGTGGCTCTGGAAGGTGTTTGGCATCTACACCACTCATCTTCTCCAAGGTATAATCATGGTCTGTGTTCCCTCACCCAAGTAGTTTTTGGCTGTTTTTAGCCTCAGCTCATTTTTTTTTTCTCAGTGCCAGAATGCTCAAACCTCATGCTATCACAGCCATTGCTATAGGCTGTAGCTCTTTATCATTCCCGTGTGCTGGACGCTGTGATCCCGCAGCGGAGGGTCAGCACAGGTGCGGTAGATGGGATGTCTCTATCTGCTCAGAGTTTGATGGGTTGGGCCATGCAAGAACCATCTGCAGGCATGTGTCCCCAAAATTACAACATAGAAATACCTAGGAAAATATTAGCATAAGTGAAAGTAGATTTATCTAATTAGAAGATATTATTAATCACTATCATTGTTTTTAAAAATATACCCAGGAGATCATAGCATGCAAATTACTAATACAAATATATTTGAAAGAGGATACAGAAAGACGGAGATCTTCCATCTGCTGGTTCACTCCCCAGATGCCTGTAGCAGTCAGGGCCAAGCTGAAGTTAGGAGCCCAGAACTCAATCTACGTCTCGTACGTGGAGGCCATCACCTCCTGCCTTGCACTGTATACTTTAGCAGGAAGAGAGTCAGAAGCAGAACTGGGGCTTTAACCTTTGCATTCTGATAAAGGATGCAAGTACCGCAAATGGTGTCTTAACTGATGAGTCTAAAGCCCATCCCCCAAATTCCATTCTTGCTTGATTTCTGATTTCCTCTGAACCATGTTTTCTAGGAGATAGATTTTAATAGCTATATTTTAACGTGGATTTGATAGCTGTATCTTAAAGATAACCTAGTATGGGGCCCAGTATCGTGGCCTAGTGGCTAAAGTCCATACCTTGAAGGCGCTGGGACCCCGTATAGGTGCCGGTTCTAATCCTGGTGGCCATACTTCCCATCCAACTCCCTGCTTGTGACCTGGGAAAGCATTGGAGGATAGCCCAAAGCCTTGGGATCCTGCACCCACATGGGAGACCTGGAAGTAGCTCCTGCTTTGGATTGGCTCTGTTTGGGCAGTTTAGGGAGTAAATTACCCGATGGAAGATCTTCCTCTCTCTCTATTTCTTGCTGTACATCTGCCTTTCCAATAAAAATAAATCTTTATTAAGAAAAAAAAATAGGGTCCGGCGCATGGCCTAGCGGCTAAAATCCTCACCTTGAACACCCTGGGATTACATATGGGCAGTGGTTCTAATCCCAGCAGCCCCACTTCCCATCCAGCTCCCTGCTTGTGGCCTGGGAAAGCAGTCGAGGATGGCCCAAAGCCTTGGGACCCTGCACCTGTGTGGGAGACCCGGAAGAGGTTCCTGGTTCCCAGCTTGGATCGACGCAGCACCTGCCGTTGCATTCAGTTGGGGAGTGAATCATCAGATGGAAGATCTTCCTCTCTGTCTATCCTCCTCTCTGTATATCTGACTTTGTAATAAAAATGAATAAATCTTTCAAAAAAAAAAAAGAAAAAAAAATGATCACCTAGTGTGGTAAGAGCTAGGCTGGAAACTGTGACAGTTGAAGTTGATCTTCTGGGTTACTTTATTCATAGTTTATTTGCAGCATAGAGATGCAATATTTGGCCAGTAAAACAGGGGAAATTCTCCCTGAGGGAACAGCTACTTAAAGGATTACAACTTAGAAGATATAAATTTATCTGAAGATTATGTATTTCAAAGTTTTGATCAAATTTTTCTTTTTCCACAGAACTCAACAAAAATCCAGTGGAAGGCTTTTCAGCAGGTTTAATAGATGACAATGATCTCTACCGATGGGAAGTCCTTATTATTGGTCCTCCAGATACACTTTAGTAAGTATAATGAAACTGACACATTCCAAATGCAATTCTTTAATTAATTGGAATTAAATCTGTTTTGGTTAGGTTTTTGTGTCTTACTTAGCTTTAATGTCTAAAACCTACTGTGTTAAAAATTGTGTAACCGTGAGCCTGGTACGATAGGCTAGTGGCTAAAGTCCTCACCTTGCATCTGCCAGGATCCCATAGGAGCACTAGCTGCTCCACTTCCCATCTACCTCCCTGCTTGTGGCCTGGGAAAGCATTGGAGGATGGCCCAAAGCCTTGGGACCCTGCACCTGTGTGGGAGACCCGGAAGATGGTCCTGGCTCCTGCCTCCTGGCTTTGGATCAGCTCAGCTCTGGCCATTGTGGTCACTTGGGACTGAACCAATGGACAGAAGATGTTTCTGTCTATCTCTCTCCTTATCTCTGTAAAATCCTCCCAGTAAAAATTAAAAAAAATTTTTTTAAATGTGTGATAGTTTTAGAAATACCTAAAAGCTTGCACATAAAATTATTGTTAGAGTGAGGTTATATATAAATAAACTCTTTTTTTCTTTTTCTTTCTTTCTTTTTTTTTTTAAAGCAGAGTCACAAAGAGAGGGAGAGAGGCAGATATGTATGGCATCCACTGGTTCACTCATTTGCCATCTCAATGGCTCCTACTGTCTTGGTGTGCCAGGCCGAAACAGGGTCTCTGGAGTTTGTCTGTGTGACAGGGGCTAAAGGGAACAGGCCATCTGCTGCTGTCTTCTCAGGCATGTTGGTGGGGAGCTGCTTTGAAAGTGGAGCAGCTGGGACTGCAGTTGGTATTCATAAGGAATGCCAGTGTCACGGACAGCAGCTTTGCCTGTGCTCCATGTCATTGGTCCCTATATTTACGTATTATTTATTTATTTATGTTGTTAACGTTTATTAGGAAGACCCAGGTACAGAAAAAGGGAGAGACAGTGGTCCTGTATGTGCTGATTCACTACCCAGATGGTCAGAGCTGGGCTGTTCCAAAGTCAGGAACCTAGAAGCTTCCTCTGGGTCTCCCACATGGGTACAGCCCAAGCACTCAAGCCGTCCTCTGCTGCTGCTGTTACATTGGCATGGAGCTGGATCAGCAATGAGCAGTCTGGACTCGAATAGTTGCCCATATGCGATGCTGGAGTCACAGCCTAAGTTGATGGCATAGCACTGACACCACCTTTGTCATTTTGGGGGAGAAAAAAATACCTTTTAACAGATTTTACTCCTAAAGCCATATGTACAGCTTAATTTATGAGCCTTAATTTCATTAACCACATGCTCAGGGAAGACACAGCAACACTGCAGTGACAATCTCGTTACCTTTATGGTAGGTATCAGATAGTAAGAGAAATTTTCTTAAAATGATATCTGGGGCCTGGCATGGTAGCCTAGCAGCTGAAGTCTTCACTCTGCATGTGCTGGGATCCAATATGGGCACTGGTTCTAATCCTGCCTGCCCCACTTTCCATCCAGCTCCCTGTTTGTGGACTGAGATAGCAGTCGAGGATGACCCAAAGCCTTGGGACCCTGCACCTGCGTGGGAGACCTGAAAGAAGCTCCTGGCTCCTGCCTTCAGATTGGCTCAGCTCTGGCCATTGCGGCCATTTGGGGAGTGAATCATCGGACAGAAGATCTTCTCTGTCTCTCCTTCTCTCTTTATATCTGAATTTCCAATAAAATAAAATAAATCTTTAAAAAATATTTTTTATAATAGTATCTGAGTAGCATTGCTAAGGAATGGAGGTTTGAACATAAACTCTAAGGGCCTCACTGAATGCTTATGTCTCTTTCATGAAGTTGTGATATCTAAATATTCCTTAGCTTGTCTGGGTGGATAGAATATCTAACTTTACCGAGAGACCCACTTTCTAATACTTAATTTAGCAGGTTTTTTGTCTCCCTAATAAAACCCATTTCTGCCCTCTGTGTGTTTATGCAATCAGAAGCTTTAATAGGGGTTATGCAATATTGAAGATGAAACCCAAACATAAGCAGTTAGTTCATCATATTTTGAATGTATCATGGAAATAATACTGTGAAGATTCTGTGAACTCTGTGCTACTTCATGATAAATCATTAGCCATCAATTAATCACTAGAGGGCACTGCATACTCTTTGTAATCAATAGCTAATAGCGTATAAGTGCTACTTACTTGGGAGTGGTATGGGTGTTTCTCATTCTTATTTTTGTGTAGCAGTAAATTTTTATTATTATTCTCTATATTATTGAATCTTGGTAGAGATACAGAAGATTCTGGAGGCTGTTATTGTATAAAGTGTACCTTCTACAGCAGGTGTAGGATACCTGATTGTATTCTTAAAACCATTAGTATGCAAAAAATTTTGTGTTTATTTTTTTTTCCAGTGAAGGTGGTGTTTTTAAGGCTCATCTCACTTTCCCGAAAGATTATCCCCTCCGGCCTCCTAAAATGAAATTCATTACAGAAATCTGGCATCCAAATGGTGAGTTCATCCAGTTTTATATTCACAAATACGATCGCCTATCACTAAAGATTTCAAGGTCAGCGATATTTTTGTGCTTAGTTCATTATGTTTATTGTGTCCTTGGTCTTTTATTGAAAGAGAAGCAACAAATTTATATGCAAACGGTTACTTATTGTTTTCTTACCTCCCAGTTCTTTTTGAGACTGACAGAATTCTAAGCCAGAAGCAAATTACGAAGCGACAGATAGCATCACTAGAGCCATGACATCTGAAGACACACTGTAGGAAGAGCGCAGAAGGCAGTAGTTTGAGTTGTTCATATTTTCTTATTGTTACTTTTAGACCAAGGGCAGCTCTGCTGTCTGTACTTTCAGCTCTTAAAATTGATTTTTAGCTCAAAAGTTAAGTTCCATGTGAAATATTTTATGAGCCAAGGAGCAGGTAGGTAAGCTTTGTTTTTGTTTTTAACGCTGGAGCTTGCACATTATCTCTTTTCTAATTATTTTGACTGTGTGCAGTCAGGAGTTTATTTTCTAATTATTTTGACTGTGTGCAGTCAGGAGTTTATTTTTTAAGTTACTGTACTAGTTTGCTTCCTACTTATCATTCTCAAGACTCTCTTTACGTAAGAATTTTAGGATCCGCTTGTGGGAGAGACTGACATGGAAACAGTTATGAAGGGTGCTGTAAGGCTCTTTTGTTAGAAGGAAGGAGCCAAGGAATGGTTCTTAGAAATAAGTTTTAATAGAGGTTTTTTTCAAAAAGTAGATTTAACAGAGAGGGGGAGAGACAGACAAGAACATTTTCTATCTACTCATTCACTCCCCAAGAAGCTGCAATGTCCCAGTGCTGGTCCAGGCCAAAACCAGGAGCCTAGAACTCCATTCTTGTTTCCCACCAGGGCTGGCAAAGACTCAAGCCTTGGGCTGTCTTCTGCTGCCTTCTCAGGTGCATTACCAGGTGGTAGGTTTGGGGTTTAGACAGCTGGGAGCCAAATTTCTTTTGTTGTTTGGATGTTGGCACTGGTGGTGATGGCATAAATTCCTGTGCCTCAGTTCTGTACCCATCTTGATTCTCTTTCCTTTGCTTGTGGTAGTGAAGTATTTGAAGGGAAAGCCATGTACTAGCAGTGATACAGAGAATTTCATCATAGGTTTGATTAAAGTAGAGAGAAATTTAAACTAAGAATAATAGCAGCAACAACAGTTGAATAACTATGATTTGTTAACTTCCAGATGTGAATGGTAATGGTGAAGTAAGAATTTGAGATCATTTTGTCATTTACAAAAATCATTACAGAATCACAACCTAATAAGACCCATTTTATGCCCAACAGGATGGATGCAATAAATAACAATAATAATAATAATGTTGATGAGGAAATATTGAAATTAGAATTACTACTAGCAAAAGTATAAACTGGTGCAGAATGTTTGGAAACATTCTGGCAGTTGCTCAAAAGGTTAAACATAGTTAACCACATGACCCAGCAATTCCATTCCTAGTATACATAGCCAAGAAAATGAAAAACATATGACCACAGGAAACTTGGACGTGAATGTTCATGGCAATGTTATTCTTATTAGCAAAACATCCCAAGGGTCTATAAACTGATGAACAGAAAAACAAAATGCTTTATCTATGGATAATATCTATGGATAAAGCATTTTTTGACAATAAAAATAAATGAGGTAATGATCATTGCTTCAATACAGATGAACCTTGAAACATTCTAATTAACAAATTTAGAAAACAGAGCAAAGGTCTCCCACTAGGATTGCCTAGAATTAGAGGGAAAGTTGAGGAGAAATAAGTGTTTGATAGTTTCTGGGTTTCTTTTTGAGGTAGAATTTATTGTGTGTAAAATTTATTCTGGAGATATCTGTACCACTCTGGAAATATACCAAATAGAAGCTGATCAGTTGGGCATTTACGATTACATGCTATAAGAAACTGTTAGAGAAATGTAAGGCAAAACTTTTGGCTTAACTGCATTGAATATTGGATTTGTTTTCCTTTACGTACATGTGCCACATCCACTTAGCTAAAGCCAGTCCAGGATTCAGCAGTAAGCTTGGGGCCTTGGGAACTACCACATCAGGATGATAGGTAATCTTGTGATATAATGGATTAGTTAATTAGCCTGGGAGACAAGTGATTAATTTTTGGAGATTAGGATAATATCAAAAGTAGGAGTAAGGAAAAGGAAAACTACAAAGTGTGTTAGAGAAGAGTTCATGAACCAAAGGAAAAAAGTCGTGGGCAGAAAATGTGTCCAGGAAGCTAACATGTCAGTTGTATTGATCCAGAAGGTTTTAGGTAGAAGAGAGCTCAACGGAACATGTTATTCAGAAAGCAAGAGGAAGCAGAAGCCCATTTTCAGTGTGCTTTAAAAAATAATAATGAAAGTACGCAAATAGTATGTAAATACGGAAGGCAAATCAAGTTTTTTTTTTTTTAATTTTAAAGGTTTATTTTTGTTTTGAAAGAGAGACAGAGATCTTCTATACACCAGTTCCCTCCCCAAATAAATAGCTCCACCAGCCAGAGCTGAGCTGATTCTGGGCTGGGAGCCAGTAGCCTCTCTGCTTCTCTCAAGAGAGTGCAAGGGCCCAAGGACTTGAGCCATCCTCTGTTGCCCTTCCTGACCACTGGCAGGGAGCTGGATCAGAAATGGAGCAGCCGGGACACAAATCAATGGTGCCCATGAATGCTGGCATGCAGGTGACGGCCAATTTCTACTACACCATAGGGCCAGTCCTTATCTCTTTGTTTAAAAGGTAGTGTAGGCCCGGCCTGTTAGCCTAAAGGCTGAATCATCGCCTTATAACCACTAGGATTCTATATGGGTGCTGGGTTTGTATCCCAGATGCTCCATTTCCCATCCAGCTCCCTGGTTATGGCCTGGGAAAGCAGTCAAGGATAGCCTTGGCACCTGTACCCATGGGGGAGACCTGGAAGAAGCTTCTGGCTTCAGCTCACCTCAGCTCTGTCCATTGCAACCACTTTGAGAGTGAAATGACAGATGGAAGATCTTTCTCTCTAGATCCACCTTTCCAATAAAAATAAATAATATTCAAAAAGTAAAAAGGTTGTGCTAGGAAAAAGAGATCAATCTTACCTCTGCTGCATCACTCTCCAAGTGACTAGGATTGTGAACAGACCGAAACCAAAAGCCCACGTTTTCACAGTGTCTCATGCTGAGGAAGGGACCCAAGGACTTTCCAGGGATGTTAGCAGGGAGCAGGATCAGACATGGAGCAACTAGGACTTAGAAAACTGGCATCATCATAGGAACTGTCCTTGGATTATAATTGCTTTCTATGAAGAGACACTACATTCTTGTCCCAGAGATGAAGCTCAGTAGTTGTGTGTGTGTGTGTGTGTGTGTGTGTGTGTGTGTCTGTCTGTCTGTCTTGGTATTTGGTTTACTGTTATAAAATAACAACTACATTTTAATGAAAAAAAAAAAAAACTGGCATCATGTGGGATGTTGGTATGTTAGACCACAGCTTAGCCTGCTTTGCCACAATACTGACTCTGGTTCAGTAGATTTTAAGATGAGAGAGATGTGTTTTTTCAGTATTTGGACACTGGTACTGTATAAATAAACTCCCAATTGCAATAGATATTTTATGTATAACCAAATTGGTGATATACTAAACAAGGCTCTCTATAATTTTGCAGTTGATAAGAATGGCGATGTTTGCATTTCTATTCTTCATGAGCCTGGGGAAGATAAATATGGTTATGAAAAGCCAGAAGAACGTTGGCTACCTATTCACACTGTGGAAACCATCATGATTAGCGTCATTTCTATGTTGGCCGACCCTAATGGAGACTCACCTGCTAATGTTGATGCTGCGGTAGGTGTCCCATGCACGTCTCCCCCTGCCCCAGCACCTGCTTGATTGTGGTAAAACCTGATCTGAACTAATATCTGCCTATATGTGTGTATGTGTATGTATCTTTGCGTTTGTATATTTAGACAAATTTCTTGATAAAAATTTTTTGTTGTGTGTAACATGATGTGAATATTTAGACATTGCAGAATCACTAAATTGATTTAATGAATATACATATTTCTTCACATATTTGTTTCTCTTTTCTCTGGTAAGAACCTACTGTTAGTGATTTTAATGAATATGATATGTTTTATAATTCTGCTTGCAATGTTGCACAATAGTTCTCTTGAACTTACTACTCATTTTAGGCAAAATTAGCACAATAATTTGATCTAACAGCATTGAAAGTTTTAAATTTTTTCTGATTAACTAATTTTCTTGTTGCATAGGCAGATTTATAGAGAGGAGAGACAGAATCTTCCATCCACTGGTTCATTTACCAAATGGCCTCAGTTTCCAGAATTGAGCCAGTCTGAAGCCCAAGAGCTTCTTGCAGGTCTCTTACACAGGCACAGGGTCCCAAGGCTTTGGGCCGTCCTCCAATGCTTTTCCAGGCCACAAGCAGGGAGCTGGAAGGGAGGTGGGGCAGCCAGGACACAAACTGGCACCTGTATGGGATCCTGGCACTTGCAGGGGGATAATTAGCCAATGGAACCGTTGTGCCGGGCTCAAAAGCTATAAATCTTGACATTAAAAGTTTAAAATAGAGATTTGTGTAGTAACAGAAGTATGTTTTGTTTTGTTTTTTAGGCTGATCCTAGTTAAGTAAGCTGCCCGCATTAGCTCTTGATTTCTGTTTGGGGTTCACCTCAGGTGCAGTAATCTCTCGCCTAGACTCTTCCAGCCCTTGGCTGGCTGCCTTGCTTCACATTCCCCTTCACTGCCTTTCTTCCTTGGATCCCATTTCTGTTTCCTGGATCTCAATTATTCCTTGCCTTCGTGTACATCCTCCTTATGTGTTGAAACTTAATGTCCTATGGTTTGTGGGAATTCAGTCCTGATTCCTCTCATAGTGTGCGGTGCTTTTATCCTTCCCCTTATTGGTGGGTACTTTTGTGATTTGAATTCAGGTAGAAAATAAAATTTGCCCAGTTTATTGTCTAGCACTCTCTGCTGGTGAGAAAGTTGATGCTAGGCTAATGCTTCGCTGTGCTGAATAGGTGTCATGTTCTTCCATTTTGCTTTCTTCTTTCCTTTGGGTGCTTTTATTTCATTTTTCTTTGTTTCTTTCTTCTTTTTCTTTTTTTTGGGGGGGTTAGTTATTCTTTTTTGAAAGGCAGGTTTTAGAGAGAGAGAGAGACCGTCCTTCACTGATGCACTCCCCAAGTAGCCGCAGCAGCTACGGCTGACTCAATCCAAAGCCAGCATCTAAGAGCTCCCTCAAGGTCTTGCACCTGTTGTCTTCCCAGGACAGAAACAGGGAGTTGCATCAAAAATGGAGGAGTCAGGGGAACCACCTGCTACCTATGGGATGCCCGGGCTGCAGGCAGAGTGATTAGCTCACTGTGTAACCATACTGGCCACTCCTTCAGGTTCTTGTCCTTCTGCAGTTCACAGGGTGCTATGCACTCTTTCTTTTCATTGATGCATATCCTTTGTATTTGAAGACCTTATTGGAAGTATTTCTTAAAAGGGTATCTGCCAATTTTGAATTTTCTAAATACAATTTGCGTTCTGGTAGAGTTGCAGTTAATTTTTATAACTCTTTTTTAATGGCTGTTGAGTGGTTAAGAAAATGCCCTATGCAACCCTTAATTTTTTTTACTGGATTTTTTTTAAAGATTTATTTATTTTATTACAAAGTCAGATATACAGACAGGAGGAAAGACAGAGAGGAAGATCCTCCATCCGATGATTCACTCCCCAAGTGACCACAACGGCCGATGCTATGCCAATCCGAAGACAGGATCCAGGAACTTCTTCCGGTATCTCACACGGGTACAGGGTCCCAAGGCTTTGGGCCGTCCTTGACTGTTTACCCAGGCCACAAGCAGGGAGCTGGATGGGAAGTAGGGCCACCAGGATTAGAACCATTGCCCATATGGGATCCCGGCATGTTCAAGGCGAGGACTTTAGCCACTGGACCCTTTACTGGATATTATACTGAATTATTGTTATAAATATAATAGAGATGGTCACTTTTTTTTTAAAGATTTATTTTTATTGGAAAGGCGGATATACAGAGAGGAGAGACAGAGAGGAAGATCTTCCGTCCAATGATTCACTCCCCAAGTGAGCGCAACGGGCCGATACTATGCCGATCCGAAGCCAGGAGCCTCTTCCGGGTCTCCCACGCGGGTGCAGGTTCCCAAAGCTTTGGGTCGTCCTCGACTGCTTTCCCAGGCCACAGGCAGGGAGCTGGAAGGGAAGCGGGGCTGCCGGGATTAGAACTGGCGCCCACATGGGATCCCGGGCATGCAAGGCGAGGACCTTTAACCACTTGCGCCACCGCGCTGGGCCCAACACATACATATTTTTTATAATCATTTTTTAACCAAAAAATAATATAGCGCCTTAGACTATATTCATATATGCCTTAGACTTTTTTTTTTTAATTTTATGGTACAATTTCATAGAGTCTGGAATTTCCCCACCCCTCCCCAAATTCCTATCCCCCTGACTGATTTACCCCTTATCATTATAATAGTACAGTCCTTCATAAGCAGTCATAAGTCTATCAATCCGTCATTTAAGTGTGCCCTGACGTTGCTGATACAGGCAATGTCAGCCCATCGTCCCATTGTCTAGATATGTCCCATACCTTTTTCTGTCTGATAACTCCTTTTTAAATATAGTCATGGTGCTCTGTTTAATGAATTTAGTAATTCCTGAGTGTATTGGATTTTGTTTTGTATACTTGAGAACACTGTTGGTTTTCTATACAACTGTCCATTGGTAATTAAGAAATGGGTCTTGGATGAAGTTTCTGGCTTATTGATTTCAGCCTGGCCCACCTACAGCTGTTGCAGCCATTTGGGGAGCAAACAAGTGGCTGGAAGCTTCTCTCTTTCTATCTCAAAACACACACATACACAGACTTTCATATCAAAAAGTAAGTGAAAACCTGGGAAAACAGATAGAAAATTGCAGCAAGAACGTTGCTGAAGGTACTTGTTTCTCCAAAGCAGTGTGAATGGCAGGTGAGTGTTGATAAGAAGTGTGGTTTGAGTGTCTCAATGAAGGAATCTTGACTTCTAGTACCAGTGCATATCCTAGCATTCCTAATTCTAGTACTCTTCAATGTATTTATTTAAAATCTATCTTATCATCATTTTAGGAAACATTTACATTTGGGATATAGGGAAAGAAGCTGTGGAGACAGCCAGCCTGAAAGGCCATGAGCAACTTGCTCCATTTTGTGCAAGATCCTGAAACCACAAGAGGAGCCAAGTCTCAAACTGTGAAACTTGGGCCTTTGACACCAAATGACAACCTGTAGTTACCTTATTGCGTGGTTCTTTAGTAATCTGTGTTTACACAGTAATTGACTCATTGGTGTGTCTGACTCAATTTGAGGGCAGGAACGATTACGAGTCTATTTCTTTGTATTTCTTTGTTACTTTGTATTTCTTTGTTGCAGACAAGGTTTGAAAGTATCTAAATCTTTGCAGCCTCTTGAGTGGGTTGACATTCAAAAAAGAAAAGAAACAATCAGACTGGCTGTACATTCTTCTTGCTGTCTATTTATCTGTGAAGTACTACCAGTCTGCTCATGTGAAACTAGACTGGTGCTGTTATGTGTTCCATTTTCACATGTGCAGCAATGACAGTATGCTCATCTGCTTCTCCAAGAGGAACAGATCTGCCTACATAGCAGACTTTTAAAAAAAATATTGCTTTATTTTGGTAATCTTTACATAGTTGATTCGGGCACAGCGGATCAAGAGCTCCAGGAAAGTGTGTAAGACCATTGTTTCCACATTAATATTTTTTTTCTGTATCAGGGTAAGGGAAGAGATAAAGCAAAAGGCCCCACCCAGCCTCCCACCCATCCCAGGTCCCCAACGTGGGGCACGTCTGAGGGTCCTGCTCATGCAGTTTTGATAGTTCAACAGTTCTGAATTGCTGCCAATTTCGTCACTCCAAGCACGATGAAATCTCCTCAGAATCCACTGGCTGACATAGTCTCGTCATGGTTGGGGTTCTGAGATCGGCAGTTCAGTTGGAGAGATCCCCGTAGAAACTTCGTCTGAGGTGATCCCAAACCTGATTCTTGTGTGTACTTGCCATTACAGGGTCCAGCACAATCCATCACCCCAATCAGCTTATGCACATGCTAGTGATTACAATTGCTGGTCAGTTCTGTTACCAGCCCTGTCTTCCATGCAAACTGATGGGTTTTGCAGTCCAGCCTGATCCTGCCCACTTCATACTCAGCCCTCATGCAAACCAGTGGGAATTGCAGCCTAGTTGGGGCAACTCCCCATAACCCCCACCAGGCCTGCCCCTACCCTGGTTCCCATGCTTGCTAGTATGTACAGCAGACTTGTCCAGTCTGTCCCACATCCCATTTAGTTCTTCTACATGTCAATGGTCATTGAAGCCTAGTGCAACCCAACCTGCCCTATTATCCAGCCCACACACATACTTGCGGGTGCTATCTAGCCATCCCTGCCCCATTCCTGGTTTTCATGCTCTCCAGTGGGAGTGGTAAACCAAGATGGAGGTTCCCACTATTTCCCTCCTAGGCCACTCCCATTCCTGGATTATGTACTCTCCGGGTGGTTCTGCGGTTTAACTTGATAGCATTAGCCCCCCAGTGCCAGCCTCTGACAGCTGATGCTATGGCAAAGCCCAACCAACCCTCACCCACTTGCATCAGTAGGAACAATCAGCCCAACCTGGCTTTTCCCAGATCTAATCCACATGAGGCCCACAAGTGTTGTAGTCCTGCCTGGAACAGATCTGCCTACATAGGAGACGTTTTTAAGAAACATTTATTTATTTTTTATTGAAAGGTGAATTTACAGAGAGGAGAGACAGAGAAGATCTTCTGTCTACTGTTTCGCTGCCCATGTGGCTGCAATGACCAGAGCTGAGCCATCTGAAGCCTGGACCCAGGAACTTCTGGGTCACCACTTAGGTGCAGAGTCCCAAGGCTTTAGACCATCCTCTACTGCTTTCCCAGGCCACGAGCAGAGGGACAGATGGAAAGTGGAGCAGCCAGAAAACAAAGCAGTGCCATATGGGATCCTGGTGCATGCAAGGCGAGGATTTAGCCACTAGAGTATCATGCTGGGCCCAGGAAGCTTTTTTTTTTTTAATGGGTATCCATGCCACACACATACCCCCAAATTAAGCATTGTTTCATGCAAGTAGTACAAATGTTTATTTGAAAATTGTGAATCTTTTCAGTGTCACATATAAATAAATCAGAGGCTTTACCTATGCAAGCGTTTTGTCTAAGAGATTTCTGCCAGAATGTCTCAGCAGAGAACTTTGCAGGAGTTAATTTTTGATGACTTTCTTTATTAACCTTTTAATATTAAAGAATGCAGAAAGTATTAAAAATATAATAGATATTTGAGATTATAAGAGATTGGATAAAAATGTTTGTTATCTTTTTATATCCAGAAAGAATGGAGAGAAGATAGAAATGGAGAATTTAAAAGGAAAGTTGCCCGCTGTGTAAGAAAAAGCCAAGAGACTGCTTTTGAGTGACATTTATTCACAGCTAGTAACTTCATTTACTTCAGGGGTAAGTTAATGAAAAAGTTGTAGTGTTTTTGTCTTTTCATAAATGCAGTATCTTTGGAAAACATGTGATTTAAATGTCTGATTTACTTGTCTTCATTGCCCACCCCCCTTTTGTTGTTTTTCATCTTTACTTGGTTCTCAGGGCTCCAGAATATCCTGCTTGTTTTTCTCCTCTAATTCACTTAGCTGTTTTTAATTCGACTTTCTGTTTTAACATGGTGGTGGTCTCCTTCTTTGCAGTTGTAAAACTTTCTAAGGATGAGTATTGTAGTGAAGTTTAACTCTTACCTTGGGCTGCCTTCCTGACCAGTGCCAAACTTATGTCTTATAGTGAATGTTGTATATGGTAATGGAAAGGATAAATTAAATGTTTCTGCTTCTTATTTTCTAAAAGAAAGAAAATGTATTATACTACTCAAACTGTCGCACCATCTACCTTATTAGAAATTCTTAAGAAAAGTATGTGTTTGAACAAACGAACAAAAAATCTAGAATAGACAGACAGAGAACAACAAGGAAAGCTTAGAATCAGAGAGGAAATGGTCAGCGTGGATTCACTTATACCTTACTAGGTGGGACACAAAGATTAGTTACTCCTCACTAGGATATTGAAGATTTCCCTGCACATCCCTCCTAAAACTGTTCTGTGCCTAAACTGTTGACATATGTCTTGTTAGAGTTATAAACCAGTCTAGACTACCCAAAAAAAAAGCCAGGTTCAGCAAAATTATGCTTCAATGCTATAAAATGCTAAATACTAAAATGACAGTAGACACAAGACAGCTGAATAGTAATCTATAGCCATTTTAAGGTGTATAGATCCCGGTTGTATATAAACTAAAATTGAAATGTCAGTGAAGAAGTCACAGGATGTGGTTAAAAACTTGCAATTTTTTTTAACATATTGGTTACTCAATACTGTGTCAATTAACTCCATAACGTTATAAATTGTTGCTGATGTTATGTTGGGGCTTTTAATTGATTGGAATGATACTCTGCCGGCTCTACCTTCAGACCAGAGATGGTCTCCCCAACAAGCTGTTGAACTTATCTGGACAATAAGATGCTGGACTCTATGCTTGGTATATGCTTATAATGAAAGAATCTCAACTGAACTTGAACTGTGGTAATGCAACAAGGTGGAGGAATCCACCGTAGGGGGAGGGTTTTGGGAGGGGTGAGGGGAATCCCAGAATCTATAAAACTATGTCACATAATGCAATGTAATTAATAATAATTTTTAAAAATGCTATCAAAAAAAAAAAGAAGAGAAAAGTATATGTGTGAAAGGAAGACCTACACAGAGAGACGGAGAAATCTGTCATTTGCTAGTTCACGTCTCAAATGCCTGCAAAGGCTAGGTCTGGCCCAGGCCAAGCCAGGAGCCAAGGACTGTATCCTGGAGTCCCACATGGATGGTAGGAGTGGAAGTACTTGAATGTAAAGCAGATTAGGTCTGCTTGAGCTAGCATTTCTGCATGGGATGCTGGTGTTGAAAGTGGAGGCTCTACCTGCTGGGCTACAATGCCGGCCTTTTGTTTTCTTCAGTTGGCTCTATATCTTTACAGGATTGCTGATGAGGCCTGTAGTAATAGTTTCCCTTTTACTGTGTAACATCTGTCTGGAAGTTTTATCTTAGGGAGAGCAAAGAGTCAAAGATGGACAGCAGTCATCTGACTTAGAGGTGTAACTGCATGACTCACAGACCAATGAGGATGACTTCCAATACATTGACTTGTTTGGCTATGCCTTTTACATCTGGTTTTTTCTTTATTTATTTCTTAACAAAATCATCAGTTTATTTAACATTTATTATACAGGTGAGGGGATAGGAATTACAGACCCATGTGGGCCTCTGGTAGGGATGAAGAGAGTCGGGGAGAAGTGGGAGTGGTAAGATGTGTCTATGGTGGGACAGAGTGCTTCACTGCGCCTTGCTGTCTGGCAGTGGAGATGGATCTGCTGAGCGCCGCCTTGGGCCCTCTGAAGTTTGCACTGATCTTAGCCAAGGGCCAGAGAAGCCAGTACCTGCTTTTTTTTTTTTTTTTTTTAATTGGAAAGTCAGACATACAGAAATACAGAGAGGAGGAGGAAAGACAGAGAGGAAGATCTTCCGTCCAATGAGTCACTTCCCAAGTGAGCACAACGGTCGATGCTGTGCTGATCCGAAGCCAGGATCCAGGAACTTCTTCCGGGTATCCCACACGGGTGCAGGGTCCCAAGGCTCTGGGCCGTCCTTGACTGCTCTCCTAGGCCACAAGCAGGGAGCTGGATGGGAAGTGGAGCTGCCGGGATTAGAACCAGCACCCATATGGGATTGTGACACGTGCAAGACAAGGACTTTAGCCACTACTCTATTGCGCCGGGTGCATGGCCTGTTTTATTTGAGAACCAAAGAGACAGAATCTATCCTTTAGTTTGCTTCTGAAATGTCCAGAAAGTGGAGTAGTTGGGAGATGAATTGGTGCTGTTATGGAATGCTGACGTCAAAGGGAGTGGCTAGCTCACTATGCCACAACGTTAGCTCACAACATTTATTGTCTCACAGTTTCTCTGGAACAAGCATCAGCATGCTGATCAGCATCGTAGTCGTTGGAATCTCAGCTCTTGGTGCACTGGCTTCCAGACTCACTCAGTGGTGTGGTCATGAGTCAGGGCCTTGCTGGATGTTGGCTGGAGTCATCCCTTGGTTCTTTGTCATGTGGGCCTCTCGTTTTGTTAGCTCACACACAGCAAGACAGTTCACTTCAGAGGGAGCAATGAGGGTAGGGGAGATTACCTTATGGTGCCAATTATGGCCTCCAGACATTGAGGAAGCTGGCTTACCCAGAGTTCTGGGAATTTCGTCTGTTGATAAAATAGCAGTTTCTCTCTAGGCATTGCCACAGCTGAAAGAGTATGACCTTATCCAGCTTGTGCCCCTTGTCTGGTGATCCCATGTTCAGAGACTGGTTGATGGATTAGTGGAGTGAGTTCTGATAGAATCTTGGGCAGTTGTCTCTGTTGGTAGCTGTCATGGCTGCTCCAAGGCAGGATTGATACGAATTTTGTTTCAGTCATGCCTGTGCTTAGTTTGTCTGCTGTCGGTTGTAAGTATGTTTCCCTCATTCTTATTGTTGAGTGTTTTCAGTACATCTCATGTAATTAAATCTCTGCCTCAGTATCTGTTTCCAAGGAAACCTAACCCAGGATGCTGGGCATTTGCTGACCTAGCACAGAACAATGGACTATTTCATGCTTTATCTAGTTGCAGATGTGGTTTGTGAGTTCAGTCATTTGACATAAATAAGGATATGATAGTTGCATATATGTGACTTCTGTGTCTGTAGGGCAGCCATGGTCTTTCTGTGTATTGAGTGAATGATTGTCTTGAGGGTCTGCTTCCTTCACCATTTTCATATTTATTTAAAAATCAAGGTTTTTGAAATGCTGACGTTTTTTGATAACCTGTTTCAATAAAATGGACAACATTGAGGCCCTTGCCTGGCAGACTGGTTAGGTGTCCATTACTAAGTGACCTGCCCTCGGGGCTTGTTGACTGAGAGAATGGCAGGTTGAGTTCCCCCCAGCAACTGTTACCATGTTTAACATCAAAAAGCCTTTTGTCTGGGAACATAATTGTAAGTTTTAGCTTTTCTGTTGCTTAAAGATTTAGTTATTTGCTTCAGAAGTGGTATGGGGAAGAGAAAGAGCAATCTTTAATCCCATGATTGACTTCTTCGAGGTCAGCAACAATTCGGACTGGTCCAGGAGGAACTGCGGAACTCCGTCTGAGTGGTGGCAGGGCGCAGGTAGTGAGGCCTCTCCCACTTTCTTCCATGTGCATTAGCAGGGAGCTGGGTTAGCATTGTTGCCCTTAGGGTTTGAATTAGCTTAACCCACTGCCCATGATTCTGGCCTCTTGTGTCTTTTTAAAAGGATCGATTAGATAACCACATAGACAACTATTGACTTGATCTGACTTTCAGGAGTAACCTGAGACAAGATGTTCACATTCTTAGGAGTAAATCATTTCCCAATAGGTAGATTAAGAAGCAGGGATAATTAAAAGGTTTGAGGGAAATAACACATTCAATCAATATACTATAAACTAACATTAAAAGCATGGAATTTTTATAATAGGCAATATACATGAGATTTACATGGCGTTGAAATGTCCAATTTATGTCAAGGGTGTGGTTATTGATATTTGAACTCTACTCCTGCGTCAGGGATTAATTTGGGTGTGACTGAGTCTTGAGAAAACATTTAAACTATCATTATCTAAAAGTTATATTACCTATCCTATAATATTGTGTCTTGAGTTTTTGGTGAAGCTAATTCTTTCAGGCGCAATGTATACTCTACTGGAGAGGCAGTTTGGTATGTCTTTAGATTTTCTATTTTTAAAAAGTTGTATGTGTGTGTAGAGGCCTGTATTGTGACATAAGCTGTTGTGTCCAGTGAAAGCATCCCGTATAGTGTCCATTCGTGCCCTGGCTGCTCTATGTCTGATCCAGCTTCCTGCTCTTGCAGCAGGAAAGCAATGGAAGACTGCCCAAGTCCTTGGGCCACTAGTAGTCATGTGGGAGACCCAGATCGAGTTCCAAGTTCCAGTCTTGAGCTTGGCCTAGCCTAAGCCATTGCACCCATTTGAGGAAATGAACCAGCTAGAGGAGACTCTTTCTCTCCTCCCATCTTCAGTAACTATGCCTTTCAAATAAATAATAGAATTCAGGCCTGGTATGATGACTTAATGACTAAATCCTCACAAGCACCTGGATCCCAAATTGGAGCTGGACTCTGTGCTAGATGATGCTCCACTTCCCATCTAGCTCCCTGCCTGAGGCCTGGTAAAGCAGTAGAGGATGGCCCAAAGCCCTGGGACCCTGCAACCATTTGGGAGACCTGGTGGAAGTTTTTGGTTCCCTGCTTCAGATGGGATCAGCTCACCTCAGCTCTGACCTTTGTAGCCACTTGGGGAGTGAATCAGCAGATGGAAGTTCTTTCTATCTCCTCTGCTTCTCCATGAATCTAATATGCCTTTCCAATAAAAATAAATAAATAATTAAAAATAAATAAAAGAATCTTTTTTAAAATTTATGTTCATATGTGTGCCAAAGGCGGGACCTGATTATAGTGAAGCTAATTCTTTCGGGTGTAATTTATATTTTACTAAAGAGGCAGACGTTTTCAATAGAAACTTAACAGTAATTGTACTTGTCAGGATTCATCTTAGAGAGTCTAAATTTGCAGTCACGCACATGTACAACCAGATGTTGGCTCTCGGGTTTCTTTCCACAGCAGTTTTTAGTGTGACTAAGTTTGGAGGTTTCAAGATTTGTAAGTTCACTCTGGGTTTTAGGAGGCACACTGAACTTTGAACATGACCAAAGTACATTTGGCATTGCTGCCTCAATGAAAGTTACATCACTTGAATTTTCAGTCATCTTTTGTTGGAATTCTTTGCTCAAAAGTTGCTGCTTTGGCAGGAGATTGAGATTTCTGAGTTCCTGGAACAGTTGATCTAAAGATGTAGTAATAACAGGTTTTTTTTTTCCCCCTCTTCTGCCCTTGAGTTCCTCTTACCCATTGTTCTCAAAGCACACATTAGTGTTCTAAAGGCCTTGGAAAGTTTAATAGTAAAATAAGACTTTAAAGATGGGCCAGTGTGGTTGGTATTAAGCACTCCCTACAGTACTGGTTTCCCATTTGATCACTGATTGTGTTCCACCTGCTCCATGTCTTTCCTCCTCGCTGTGATTGGCCTGGGAAATTCAGGATAAGGTTGGCCAATAGTTTGGGCTGCTGTCCTCACATATGTGGGAACCACTGGCCTCGGCCTGGCCCAGTGCTGGCTGTGGCAGCCATCTGGGAAGTGAACCATCCTTTCACTATAACTGTTTCAAAATGAATGAGTAAATAATTTTTAAAAATAAAATACTTTAGAATTTTTTAACCAAAAATTATTATCATTTATTAGGTGTGTTACTTTGTCTAATTCTTTTCTAAAAATAGGGAGAAACTCCGTTATGTGATGCCGGTGAGCTGTATGTGTAATAGTTTAATACCCTGACACTGTTTGATACATAACAAGCACCTGATAAGATGGTGGTAGTTTTTCCTTAGGTGTGTTCTTGAATTGAGGCTATGGGATCAGCAGGTAGAAAATGGTTAGAGCCTAGAAATATGATGGAAAGTCATTTCTGGGAGGTCCCATGGAGAAAATGGGTTTGAACTGAGCCCCGAGAACTGGATAAAATTTACTAAGTTGGCATATATGGCAATGTAGTTTATTTTCCCTCTGGGTGTCCTCAGATGTTAGAAAATTTCCAAATCACTTTAGTCTTTTTTTTAAGACTTTCTTTGTTTTATTGGAAAGTCAGATATACAAAGAGAGAAAAATACAAAAAGAAAGATATTTCTTCTGCTGGTTTACTCCCCAAGAGGCTGCAATGACTGGACCTGAGCCAATCCAATACAAAGCCAGGAGCCTCTGTTAGGTCTTCCATGGGGTTGCAGGGTCCCAAGACTTTGGGTCATTGTCTACTGCTTTCCCAAGCCACAAGCAGGGAGCTGGGTAGAAAGTGGAACAGCTGGTGTATGGGATCCCAGCACATTCAAGGCAAGGATTTAGCCACTAGGCTACTGCACCATGTCCAGTAGTCCTCCTTGGTTTGATTTTTATTGTAATAGAAATTGAAAGATGGGATATTGAGAAAAGCCTAAATTGGCATTGTACAGTATAACTTTTGTGTTGAGGGGAATGTTTTGTGTTTGCATTAGCCAGTGGGGCAGCTACCAGCCGCATGTGGCAGATATGACCAAGGAACTAACTTTTAGTTTTAGTGATAACTGTTAATTTAAACTTAACCACCTGCTGCTAGTGAGCTTAAAATGAAATTCAAGATTAGTGACCATGGAAATAGAATGTAAATAAAATTTATTTTGAACTACACAAATTCATTATATAATTTATTGTTTGTTTTGTTTTAGGTCTCCAATTGAGAAACATGGCACTGTTTTTCCTGCACTCTACCCACTTATTGCTGGACTTCTGTTGTTACAAGTTGGCAAACACTGGCTGGAACTGGGCTGCAATAAAACATGCCAGTTATCAGTGCTGACAAGAACCTAACAAGTGCCAACTTACAGATGATTACGCATTTTGAATTTTAATGAACTGTTTTAACCTTCAGGAAGAATTGTAAAGACCTGTACATAGCACAACATGATCCGGATAATATATATACTGTTCATGTACATCCACAAATACACCTTGTACCAAATAATGCTTTCTTGTAGTAGAATAAGAATCGTGTAAATTCTAAAAAGATTTTAGCAGGTTTCCTTTCCCTATTCATTGTTTCTTATGAGTTCTAAAAGACTTCTTTATTAAAGCATGTCAGGTAAAAAGCAATTAGGATTAAAAGTTTCCACTTAATTTCCTTTAAACCATTGAGGCTTCATTAAACTATTTTCACTTAATAAACTTTTGTATCTTTTTTGTTTTGGTACACCCCATCTTTGCTTTCATCTCATCTATCTGCCAGAAAGTTCTCAAATCATTTAGCTCCAATACTGAACTACTCAATAAGCAATTACTTGATTTTTAAAGATGACTTCGGAGGAGTGGTCATCTCTAGGTGCTTTGTCCTTTTTGTATTCTGGTTGCACCGGTCTCTCAGATTGGATGTAGCAATAATATTTTCTGCCTGTTGAGAGCTCTTGAACCCAGTCATTACCCCCCAGAAAACTTAAAAACAACAGACAAGTTGTTTGTGAGTTCAACTTACTGCAGTTTACCCCAGATAGTGCAAAATTCTGATTTGGTTTTATCTGCTCTCCAGTTGCCTGATGTTAAGGTTGGATACATAAAGCATGCCCATCTTCAGGCTTTCTACTTCACTTCTGGGTCTGCTGCTAAAAGTGTTGTTTGCCCTCCTCCCACTGTTCCTTTGCCTATATTCTTCTATTCTGCAGATTTTCCTTACCTATTGTATAAAGAAATTGCGATGTATATTTTCATGTAATTTGATTTTGGAATTCTGTCACCTTATGTAGTGAGTTCTTCCAAAATATAATTTTTTTCCAATAATTCTCAAGTTGTTGACTTTTATTGAATGAAGCTTGCAATATTGAATGCCAGAGAAATGCAGTTTAGAAAAATCTCAGGTTCATTCCTTGTGCAGACAAGCTCTAGCACTTGAGAATCACATAGCCATGACAGTGGGTATGTTGAAGTCTCCAGATGTTCACACAGGCAAATGCTCTGCTGCTTGAAGCAGGCCTGTCATTGGCATCCATGATTAGATCTGAATAATGTCTGGGCATAAGTATATTTCAAACCATCTAAATTTCTAAAACAATTTGAAATGTTAAAATGAGTTCCTGTAGTGTTAAAGACAGGCTTGGGCACTTCTGTGTTGTGAAGGTGGGAGCAGGTGGTTACCTGTGGTGTGCTCGGGTAGACCTCAGGCGGGATGGCTACAGCACCGTGAGAGTTGGGGCATCTCTGCTCTGTGGCGTGCAGGGGAAACACTGGCACAAGAGTGACAGGACTCCCGCCAATAGCCTAGACCTCTGCAAACTGTCCTTTTTAAAGCAGAAATAAAATGGTTGAGGATATAGTCATGAGAGTGATTTTTCTAAATCCCAGTTTGTTCTCTATGCTGATGCTCTGTCGAATTTTATGTACCTTATAAAACCCTTACGTGTGTAGTGACTTTGAAAACTGTTTGCTTGAATGATTGGAGCCTGATCATCTTTAAGAACTTGTGACTTTTTTTTCCCCAAAGCATCTCTTTAAGAATTGTTGCCCCACTATAGTATGCCAGTATGGCACACCTATAGAATTTAGAAACTCCACATGGTAATTTCTTCTGGCTAGTGGAACTGAAATTTAACTCCTGTGTGGCTACCTATCTCCTGGAATTTGACTCCTTAGCAAGTGGCAAATAACCTGGTGACTCAGGGACAGATGAGCATAAAATGCCACTTTAATGCACCTGCTTTGATATTACCATGAGGCTTTTTAGAGCCAGATTGGAGGGGGTGGTGGGAGGGAGGCCCAGGAATCTCTTCAGACTTTTTTAGGGGGTGGGTTCCTGCTATGTTTACAGTCCCGATAGAAAGGACTGCATTGATTTTATGACTACTTCTGTCGGAGGTTTCATCTTGTGCCTTTCCCGATGTTCATCTGACTGAATTGCATCACCTTCTGTTGAACCCACGGTAGGTAACAATCGGGTAGCTCCTGGCCCACTGCAACACCTCATCATCCATGGGAGGTGATTCTCCTCTGCTTTATGAAAAGAGCTTTTCCCCCTAACTTTGTTCCAACCATCAGCAACTTCCATGTAGTCTTTTGGGTCATAGGGTTATAATAGATGGCCAATTTTTGCTTAAAGCGGGAAGCAGGATTTCAGCGCTTTCTGGCCTCCACTTTTGAGTTCAAAATCCACGAGATGGATTTCCTTGCTATTATCAGGTAATCATGTTTGCGATGTTATTCCACTACTGTTTTTTTATGTATATATTTTTAAAGATTTTACTATTTTTTATTGGAAAGTCAGATATACAGAGGAGATAAAGAATGATTTTCCATTGGCTGATTCACTCCCCAAGTAGCTGCAACAGCCGGAGCTGAGCCAAACAGAAGCCACAAGCCAGGAGCTTTTCCGGCTCTCCCATGCGGGTGCAGGGTCCCAATCCTTGATTGTTTTCCCAGGCCACAAACCGGGAGCTGGATGGGAAACAGGGCCTCCAGGACACAAACCAGCACCCATATGGGATCCTGGTGTGTTCAAGGCGAGGACTTTAACCACTACGCTATTGCACTGGGCCCTAGTTGAGGAACTTTACCTTGACTTCCCAACTGATCAAATGTTCTAGAAGTGCAATACACAGCCAGGCAGCATCTTTTTTGAGATCTACATCTATATCTGCCGGTTCACCCTTTTGAGTGGTTGCCAGCTACAGCTGAGCCAGGCTGAAGCTAGGATTCAGCAGCTTCACGGAGTATCCCACCTCAATGGCAGGAGCCAAAACACTTGGGACATTTCCAGCTGCTTTTTCCAGAGGGTTAGTGGAGAAGTGAGGGCATAAAATGGTACCCATATGGCATGCTGGCATTGCAGGTGGTGGGTGGCCTTACCCTCCAAACCCACATGAGCTCCAGGCACCACTTTTCTTCAGGGTTTCTGTACATGGCATTTTAGAACCTTTCCGTGAACACTAGATTAGGTTTTGGTGCCCAGCGCAGTGGCCTAGTAGCTAAAATGTCCTCAGCATGCATGAGTTGAGACCCTATACCAGTTTGTGTCCTGGCTGTTCCACCTCCCATCCAGCTCCCTGCCTGTGGCCTGGAAAAGTTGTGGAGGACAACCCAACGTGGTAGAACCTTGCACTGTTGGGAGACCTGGATGTGTCTCCTGGCTTTGGATCAGCTCAGCTCCAGCCATTGTGGCCATTTGGGGAGTGAACCAGTGACTGGAAGATCTTTCTCTCTGTATATCTGCTTTTCCAATAAATAAAATCATTTTTGTAAAGGTTAGATTATTATCTCTAGCATAACCTTGCTGTAAAGATGAGCTGACTCATGAGTTAGAAGAGACCGCTCCCAACCATCTCAGTCACCACACCCTGGCTCTAACGTAGGTGGGGAGACTGGCTCAGATAAACTTGAAACTTTTCAGTTATACACGGGTGCCCAGGTTAGTGCAGGAGCACCAAGCACTGAGTTGTGTCTACAATACCGAATATCCAGCTTTTTACCCTGAATCCTTAAGTACAGTTCATAGATATTGTTTTGCTGTTTGATTATCTAGATGGAAGTTGCCAGTGGGTATTTCAGGCCTCTTCCTTACACTGCATGGAGCCAGAACACCTCATCCACACTGAGTTAGAAACAAAATCCTGGGGATTGGTGTGATAGCTCCGTAACTAAATCGTCACTTTGAATACGCCAGGATCCCATAAGGGCACTGATTTGTATCCCAGTTGCTCCACTTTCCATTCAGCTCCTTGCTTGTGGCCTAGGAAAGCAGTCAAGGACAGCCCAAAGCCTGGGGACCCTACATCTGCGTGGGAAACCCGGAAAAAGTTCCTGGCTCCTGGCTTTGGATCAGCGCAGCACTGGCCATTGTGGTCACTTGGGGAGTGAATCACTGAACGTAAGATCTTCCTCTCTGTCTCTTCTCCTCTCTGTATATCTGACTTTGCAGTAAAAATAAAATAAATCTTAAAAAAAAAAAAAACCTGCTTTGAAAGGGTCCAGATGGTATCTGGATTTTATTGCTTTTCCAGGTAATTCCTCGGGTAACAGCAAATGAAGTTTATCTGCATGCTCCTTCCAATGCAAGTGAACAGTAATTGACTCCATTTACTGTGTATAGGCGCTGAGTTTCCAGGAAAACTATGAAATTGGGGCTGTGCCCACCTTAATCACATTTGAACTTTTCATTTTCTGGGTGCCTGTAAGCCCAACAGGATTCAGTTTGCAGGGTAAATTGCTTCCTGCCAGGGGTGGCTCCAGTTGTCAGTTTCAGAGACAGACTCTGGCTGCCAGAATGGGATTAAGTCTTTGGCCTGGTGAACTGGCAGTGTGCCCTGAGCTTTAGTGAAATGATCGGGGACTTTAGTCCTGCTCATAAAGGTTAAATAAACTGGGGGGAAAAAAAAGAGAGAAGGCTTTCACAAAATGCAAGAGTTTGGCAAGTAAAACATTAGACCAAAAAATGGATTTCACCCCCTTTCTCCAGTATTTTAGTAGCACTTGTAGGGCATCTCGTGTTCCTAACAAACACTGGAATCAAATTTTGAGTTCCTGAGCCACTACCTTGAGGCAGGCTTCTGCTAATGTGGTTTACAAAGGTAGTCAGTGGTCAGTGAGCAGGTATAGATTGGTAGTTCAAGATTGTGGAGCAAATCCAGTACACAGCACAATTCAGTTCCACTACCGTCCTTACCCTGGGCTCGGTGACCTCTTGTGGAAGCCACGGCTCTGGATCTGTGCACTGAGGCTGGTGCATGGACCCAGGTCCTTGGCATCTCTCCACGTGCCACTGCCTCTCTGTGTTCCCCCACGCTCTCCATTTCTGTGCTTCATGTTCCTTGCCAAAGACAGCTCTGCACCAAGCTCCTGTTAATCTGATGGCAAAAAATGAGCCTGGTCTAAAACAAACCATGTTCCAGTGCTCAGATTTGCAAAATGTCTTGTTCAGATTATAGTTCATGTTGCAACCTCTGGTTCCCTGTGTGCTGTAAATGCCTCACCTGACAGGCTCAAAGTCTTTTAAGTTTTCTGTAACTCTGGGGTTTTTAGCCAGGGAGAGTTGCCTTAGAAGACAAGGGCACAGGGCCTGGCATGGTAGCCTAGAAGCTGAAGTCCTCACAACTACATATGCTGGGATCCCATATGGTGGCCAGTTCTAATCTTGGCAGCCCCGTTTCCCATCCAGCTCCCTGCTTGTGGCCTGGAAAAGCAGTAGAGGATGGTAGAAAGCCTAGGGACCCTGTCTAAGAAACCTGGAAGAGGCTCTGGGCTCCTGGTGTCATGATTCAACAGATGGAAGATCTTCTCTGTCTCTCCTCCTCTCTATATCTGACTTTCCAATATAAATTTTAAAATCTTCAAAAAAAAAAAAAAGATGATGATGACAAGGGCACAAAGACAAGGTTCTAGCAGGAGCACTTTCCGCATTCTGAGGGTTCCCTTGAGGATGGCTGTGACAGAGGTAGCCAGAAAGCCTCTGGTGAATTCAGGCACTCAATGAGTTGTTACTCAGTCCAAGGGAACTCTGAACGGGCACAGGTGTGTTTATTCCTGCATGTGTGCTGCCCAAAGGGAAAAAGTCCTTGGCTTGCATCAGATCCTCAAAGGGCTTTGTGTCTAACTCGTTAAGAACCATGGATGCAGCATAAAGCTCACAGGAGCCTGTTTGTAACAAACACACAACAACAACTTGTCCTGACCCTGAGGGTGGCTTCCATTGGTTAACACCTCATCAAATTCTGTTAAGCACCTGCTATCCAAGGGTATTTCAAAAAATTGATTTCTGTGCAAAATATTTATCTTTAAAAATTAGTTTATTT